AAACAATAAATAAATTAACTGCATGATAAATTAAAATTATTCAACCTCATTTTCATTTATCAGCTTTATCGTTTCTTCGTGTCTCTCTTTCTACTGAAGACATTGGATGACAAAAGGCTCAAGCAAAATTCAGTTGAAACCCGTGCCTTTGTCTAAAAAGTTGTTTTTCTCTGCAAAAAGAAGCTGAGAACTTGTTTACTGACTTTTTTTATTATTAAAAGCTTTACGTGAAAAATGCAATGCTAAAGAGCTCAAAGAGACAGCCCATGTCATGTCAAGGGGCCTCCCTCCCATTTTCTTAAAGAGACACATTGCTTGCTCCCTCACTATCCATCCTTCAGTTCAAACAGTCTTATACTGTCATCTGGTGGTCGAAAAAAGGTACTAAATGCAAAACAAATGAACATCTCTTCTTAGATTTGACAATAATTACTAATTAGTGTCAAATTTCAAACAATATTATCGTTTATCGCAATAATTTCTGAGACAATTAACCACCCAGCAAAATTTATTATCGTGACAGGTCTTTTTAAAATAAATTGTTTAAAATTATTTTGCATCATGTGTGCAGCCCACAAGTGAAAGAGAAATCTCCCTCCTGCAGCCGATCAGCTGATTTCCTTCTTTGCCACACACACACGCACGCACGCACGCACGCACGCACCACCTGCTGCAGCTTTGGGTAACCCTTTGCTGTCCAGATGCACCGATCGACTTTTGTCTTCCAACTTAAAATTCAAAGTATGTCACATCGGGAAAAATCATAAATCACAAAATATAAAAAAGTGCTAAAAGTTATTTTAAATTATTTTAGAACTTCTATGTTCAGTTGTTTCAGTGTAATTGATCAAGAAGAACATTTCTGCTCCGTGCTGCAGAGATGAAGCTGTGTGACATCACTTTGATGTCCTGCTGCACTTCTCTTCTCTACAATTTAAATTTAAATACTGTAATATTTTAAATAATCAATCCATGCTATATGTATTGTTTATTTAAAATATCTTACAGTATTTAAATTTAAAATAGTTTATTTAAGGAGGGAGCTTGGAGTAACAGGTGATGAGTGTGATTACAGCCTGGCACATGTCATGATAAAGTTTACTGCATTTGAACTTGAACTGAACTTGTATCTCTACTTTGCAGTTTTCTCTCATCACGGGTGGGCGTGGTCCCCAACACCAGTGATAAACGAGGGATTACTGTAAACCTTAATGTGTTTGGTGCAACATATTCAAGTGGGTAGGAGTTGCACTAAGGAGAACAACACAGGAATGTTTTTGATTGTCTGAGCAGGAGCAATTTTATCTATGACCACATCCAATGGCTGAGCCAAGGGGTGACCAGTGGGGGGCTCTGCTACCAGAGATTAATCTTCAACCACTACAACCATTTGAGGAAACTATATATTTAAGCAACAAAAACAAAACTAGAAAATCAGTTTCTACAAATGATTGGGGTGGCCAGTTTTCATATGGTAGTAGCCATCTTGTATTTTGATGTAGCAACCTAATTATTGAAAAGAACCTTTCTTCCACCTAGATGTAGCCACACACCAAAATGAAAGTCTGTACCTCGCTTATTTTTCAAGTTATCATGCTCACAACATGCACATATAGACGGAGAGCATTTCCCGTTCCTCCTCTTTGCTCTGTGAAGGGGACAAAAAGAAAAAACACAAGCCGCTTGTGTTTTACGAGACGTTAAAGCCACTGGATGTCGGCATCAGACCGCCTTTGAAGCCTCTAACAAAATGTCGTGGTAACGGTAACTGACGGAGCTAATCTGAAACAGCGCCTCTCACAGAACAGCCCTGTCACTTAATCACAATTTAACAAAATAATGCAATCAGAATAAGTCCAGCATACTCGTAAGGTTTTAAAAAAAGTCATTTTCACTTCATTTGAAATAAAACGTAAAAAATAAAAAGGCTGAACTTTTTCTGTTGCACCCTATGTCCCAACATAAATGATGATTCGACGAAAAACGCAAAAAGCAAACACACTCGTGGATGTTTTGGCCCTCGCTGTAGCGGTTGTTCTTTAGACATGTGAAAATCCTCCATCTCCATCAGCCGTGACAGAATTGTGTTTCACAAAACAAACCAATTCCAGGTGGACAAACACGCTGGCCATCCTCAGGCCCCCCGAGCCCCGCGCTACAACAGTTCAGCAAAAGCAGTCTGCACTGTTGCACAACGCACGCCTCTGTGTGTGTGGTGATGACTAGGCATCCAATAAGGTGCAGGTAGATGTACACAACTGTTTAAACAAGCAGCCAGTCAGCACCACAACACAACAGCTGACAACAAACGCTGCTGAAGCAGATTGTTGTATAGCAATCGTGTCAATGGGAGAACGACTGGCTGGCCCCTCACACACCAGAAAATTAAGCTTCAAGCTACGCAAGAGGGGAAAAAAAACACCACCATGACACGTGTTACACGCGTGTTTGTTTACACACACGAACCGGGTTGTTCTGTTGCACTGAGGGGGAAACAGTCTTTGCTGTGCAGCCTCAGTTCACTGACTGTTCCATAAACACGATGGCTATCGTCAACGATGGACTGACCCGCGACTGTCGTGAGACACGCAGTTAAACATGTGAGCTTATAAATGTGCTGATAAATAAAGGAGGCTTAAAGCTGTTAACAGTGCAGCAATCACAAATGAAAAATAAGTGATTATTGCTTTCCTACATTTTCCTCCTTTTCAAAGTATTTTTAATTAAATTTACAAGTGACATTACATCCTTACAATGTTGCTTAAAACTGCCAATTAAAGCCATTTTAATAAAGTGCGTTCTACATTATTTATGTTAATAAAGACTTGTTGAATTATATGATGTAGATGAGTTAGATCAATCTGAAGTTGTTGCATCTTTTAAACAGCCTGGTCAGAATAGATCAACCCAGACTTTTATCAGAGCTACTTGGATGGCTGAACACACTCAGGTGAAGTTCTGTCACATTCATGGATTATTTGACAGCTCCCTCTTCTGGTTAAAATGGAATAATGAGACATTTACTATTTCAGTACCTAAAGCAGGAAACTTCTCATTCAACCTTTAAAGCAGCAGGATTTTAACAAAACGTACAGATGAAAATCTGTTTCCAATTCATTTTTAAACCCACTTCCCATAAACTACTTCACAAATCTATTAAGAATACTCAAGAAGCTCAATGACAAGTGTTCAGGTGTTGGGTTGACGGGTTGAGGTTAATGAACAAGCTAAACTGTTACCCATTTCAGAGTACCAGTAATCATTTACTCATGTGACTGTGCTTGAATTTATCCACCCATCTACCGATCAATCAATCCACCCATCTACCGATCTATCAATCCACCCATCTACCGATCGATCGATCCACCCATCTACCGATCGATCCACCCATCTACCGATCGA